CGTTGCTGGGGATGACTTTATATATTTCTGGAAATTGTTCGTTTTGGTTGATTCCTTCTAAAGTCGCCGATTCAACGATCGGAAATGGCGTTATTATCTGACCTCCATAAAGTAGATTTGCGTTTCCTACGATGGACGAAGCTTGCAAGGGATTTGGACTTGCGGTAGTCGATTCCAAAATAACCGGAGGTTGTATCGTGGTGAACTGATTCTGCGTTTTAAAGTAATCCCAGAAGATTTGACCGTAGCTAGGAGTTACAGAACCATCATCGACTGGCTGAAAATCAATCGCCTCTGTACAAGGCGATTTTTCATCTACTTCGTATCTGTACGATTCAGGGTTGTTCGAAACATTTTCAAAACTAGGCGTTGAAGTCGTAATTTCGTGAACACTGCGTTCCGTCGAAATCGAACGATCTTGCGATTCCTCTAATGTTTCTATAGAATCATCGTTTTCTCTATCTTTCAATAATTCTTTTCCTTGTTTCTTCTTTCCCCCTTTCTTTCCAGCTTTTGCATCGCTAGAATCTTTCTCCAATTTATTGATCTCAATTCCTTTCTCCTTCTCCTCAGCCTCCTTTTCCAAATCCTCCTGCAGCCTCTGTATGCCATTCTCAGCCACCGATTTCGGATTTACTGTCTTCTTCCACTTATCCTCGCTTTCAACGTCCACTAATTTACTAGAATCTGTTCTATACTCGAAATCTCTATAATCCTCATCGTAGTCCTTGAACTCCTCAGGATCTATCTTTTTATGCTTGCTAAGTTCGTTCGAACGTTCATCTTCCTCGTTGTTTTCACCATCCTTTATCTTCTTTTTTGCGTCGATCTGCTCGTGCAGCTTTCTGGCGTATCCTTCGTGATAATCAGCGTCCCTGGCGTGGCCAGCATGATCGTACGCGGAATCCTCGTAGCCCTCTTCGGTGTAGACGGTGTTCACCTTGGTGTTCTTCACCACTTCCTTCAATCTCGCCGCGTTTTCCTTCTCCTCCGCCGAGTCTGCGCTCTCCACCGCCTTCCACCGTGGCAGACGTCTCACCGTGTGAGTCTTCCGGACTTGAGCGTACAATCTCGTGGGTACGTCTTCCGAGGAAACGTCCCTGTCTCTCGATGGCTTGGCCCATTGGCCCGGAGCCGTGTATTTCGGTTTCGTTGGGACCTCCTTCGGGTTCTCGTGCTCCGAATACGGTATCACGTGATCCTCTGGTCCTTCAGGATCTTCTTCGGAAGCTGAGTGCCCTTTGTCATTTTCTGGAGGATTCGCGAATCTATTGTAAACGATCGTCTCCGAAGCTTCGATAGGATCCTGGTCTTCTGGTCGAGAAGTGATCGCTGGTTCGCTCGAATCGTTAGCTATCGTTCCCTTGGCATAGCCTGAAGCAAGATTCGTTAATGTTACCGATTTCGCGCGAGTTTCGAGAACTGACACCAGAAAAATGAAACACAAGCGACGAATTAGCGATACTCGACTCATTGCGTTAGTCGGAGCTTGCCATTGCACTGAGTGTCCGATAAAAACAGAAGTATTATCGCATCGATTTAATTTATTGGTCGGTCATTCTGTAGGGTTTCACAAGACACGAACTAAGGATTTTCTTCAGCACCGTTTAAACAATTTCAATAGATTTATTGTCGAGATCTCGTAACGTGGCTGGCAACGTTTCACGTTCATCGCCAGAGGTATTCGACGCGGAGAAACTGTCGTCTGTTTTTTCGAAGGATAAGCGACAGCCGGCGGTTTCTAATCATTTTCGAGCGAGAACCACCATCGAACTGTCCGCTGCATAGTCCTCGTGGCCTAATTTATATTTTCTCGGTGATCCGAAAGGCAGAGAGGTAGGATCTAGCCTGTTGTTCACGGACCGTGCAAGCCTAAGCGTTCAACGGTTCTGTCACTCTCGATTGAATCCTTCGGTGGATCGTTTCACTGGAAAGGGAATAAAGAAATTCTCGATCAGCCTGCTCGCTGATACACGCGCACCGTTAATTGCACTCCGTTTTTCTGCGCCACTTTCTGTTTGGATTCGGTAATTTGTATCGAATATCGATCATCTATCGGAAAGTTCGTATATTGCAGTAGCTTGATCTTGTTTCTTCGATTACTCTCGTTTACAACTTACGTAATAAATATTTTTCATAAGTCAGGGTTATAATAATATTACGATTTTTAATAACAGACTAACAGGAAGGTCTGTTATAGATTTTTTAATAAATTATCAAGACTATTTTGAACCACTTGACGTAACGATATTATTATCTACTGCGTTACGATTTTTATTTGATACGTCAAATCACTCTACGTTTAGTTTAACCTCCCAAGTTGAGGGCTGGCTTATTATTTTGCTGTTTATAATGTTACAGTGCAAAAGTAATACTAAATTTTATTCCAAAGTTTCAGATTATACCACTATACAGGTTGTTCGGTCACTTTTGGGAAAAATTTTAATGGGAGATTCTAGAGGCCAAAATAAGACGAAAATCAAGAATATCAATTTGTTGATTGAGGCTTCGTTAAAAAGTTATTAAAAAATTAAATTAGAAAATTTCAAATCATTCTGGAAAAATTATTTTCGGTTGTGGGGGTCAATTACAATCATTTTTGGCGAATAGACATACCCCCGAAATCTTAACCACTTTCCAGAAAAAAATTCGAGGTGTGAAATTTTTTGACAAAACTAAAATTTTTAAATCGTTCTAAAAAAATTATTTTTGTTTGTAAGGGTCAATTATAATCATTTTTGGTCAATATACATACCCTGGAATTCCTACGCATTTTCTAGAAAAAAATTCGAGAAGGTGTGAAATTTTTTAACAAAATTAAAAATTTTGAAATCGTTCTAAAAAAATTATCTTTGTTTGTAAAGGTCAATTATAATCATTTCTGGTCAATAGACATACCCCCGGATTCCTACGCATTTTCAAGAAAAAAATTCATTACTGAAAATATAATGTCTGATCATAACTGTCTGTTACCCTGAAAATTAAAAATTTTGGAATCGTTCTAAAAAAATTATTTTTGATTGCGGGGGTCAATTACAATCTTTTTTGGTGAATAGACACACCCCCGAAATCCTACGCATTTTCGAGAAAAAAATTCATTACTGGAAATATACTGTGTGGCCGGAAATGTTTCTATAACTTTTTAACGAAGTCTCAATCAACAAATTAGTATCCTTGATTTTCGTTTTATTTTAGCCTCTAGAGTCTTCCATTTAAATTTTGTCCAGGGCTGACCAAACACTTCGTATAAGGGGATTAAATTTTTCAGTGATTTCGAGAAAAATGTCGCAGATTCGATTTCACGACTGGTCAGTTTCTAGAATTCGTGGTTCGGTTTAGTTTTATCCGGAGTTAGCGATGCGGAGAGAACTGTGGCTCGAGCGACACGCTTCGTGGACCAACGCGGAAAGGCTCAGTGCAATCGCTTCTGCAGAAACTTGGCAAGCGAAGCAAACGATTCACAGGCGACTGAGCTAAGCAAAACGGTCTGTGCTCTTGACTGTGGATGGCCAGTTTCGTATAAACGTCTCTTTACACTGCTACGATAAGCAGCTCCGTGACATAAACTTCAAGTATCGCGATTGAAAAGAGCAAGGATACGTAGGACATAATAGGAGAAGACATCAGTTTAGAAGAACTCTTTGTGTCTTTAAAATTATAGAACATGGCAAACGCAATTTTGAGTTCGTGAGAGTCGATAAGATTCACGTTGGAAATTTTAGGAAATTTTTAAGACCTGATAGCAACCCATACTCCTTTTAAAGCGGCAAGGAAATGTAAACAAAATATTTGCGTGATGGATGCTGTAAAATCAAACGTTGAAAATTAACTTCTCATTTTCTAATGTCCTGTTCTGCTCATGCATTTATCACTTGTTTATATTTCTTGACTAGTTTCGTTGATTTAGAAGATTGCAGAACTTGGTATCGCGAAACCACAGTGTTCTAAAGAAAAAAAGAGAACGGAATGAGGACAATGTTTAGTCACAAGCCTTGCGAAAGCTGATTAAAATGCCTGATCCAATATACGATTTGCAAATATTTCCAAGACTGACTTCTTTTTCCTATTTAAGATCTTGAACTTCTCAAATAATACCTAACAGATAATTTTCTTCAGATTTCTGGCTGAATTGTTCATCTTCTACTCGAGATATTTAAACGTATATTGAATAATTACTTGCAAAAGCAATACCAATTTGTATAAATCTTTATTTTGTGTGTGTTTTATACAGTTTGTACATTTACAGAGAAACAGAAGATATTTGTTTTACATACAAGACAAAGAATCGAAAGAAGTTCGTTTTTCGTTATCGTAGAATGTACAAGGTTTGAAGAAGTGCAGTTAAGTCGTTGCTGTATCGTATATTTAATAATTTGTAAGACACGTACGTACAATTAGCGAACATAAATTAATAAAAATAACAAGTAATAAATATAATAGAATAAAGTTCACGCAGCGTTACATAACTACAATGATTTCGCGATTGCACCTGCCCAACGTAATCATTATGCTTCTACAGGCGTATCCTCTGTTCATTCTACTTCCTCTATGTATAACAGAAATATATAAACGTTTAGCTACGATCTATCTGTCATTCCAAAGTTTTAATCCGATAAACTTTCAATAACAATTATGTAGGCGGTTTCTAATTTTAATTAAAGGGTGGTACAACTATTACGGGGAGATTTACATCAAATAGATTTTTTAGAATTACTCAGAACCCTGATATAAAATTCCAATAGTCGAAGCTTCGTCAGAGAATGTTAGAAAAATAGTCGAAAATAATTTCACAGCTTTCTTTGACGTGAGAAGATATCTTCGATGAATATGAACGAGTGCTTAAGTTTACGGAATAACTATTAAATATAAATCTACTCTCGATGCGTATACTACGCTCTATGGTCGGTTAACAGTCAAACACGATTAATAATTCGATAATAACGATTTCTTTTTACAAGAGATATAAGGGATCAGGTACTCCGAAGTAAATGGATCTTCGCTTATGACGATATCACCGGTTTCCACGCGTTGGAATCGTCTTGGGCCGCTGACTGGGTCTCCGACGATTGCAGCATCGACGCCTCGGGTCGAAAGAAATCGATGATTGGATGGTAATTATAATTGATTCGCCTCTGTGGCTCCTGATACTCGTCGTAAAAGCCGCTGTTTTGCAGCCGCGACGAGGCGTCCATGTCCAGATCGTACGGTTGACTGTACCTGTATATTACAAACTTATTCGTAACAATTTAAAACATTCATTACGCCCACAGTCAGATGCCCAAAACGTTAACCATCGTAATCGACAAAAGTTAAGATTTTTATTTCGTTCTAAATATTCCGTCTCGCGTAGTGTACCTGTTTCCAATCGAACTGTTACTCGCAGCCTCGGTGTTTTCTTCGACGTGTGTCGTTGATTCTCGTCTGTAAGGTGGTCTGTTAGGTCTGGTTGGCCTGGAGCCTTTCAGTAACGGTCCGGTGTAGCCTGGAGCCCTGGTGTTAGGCGCGTGTTGCTGAGGCAGCTTGTCGAACGGCCTTGAATTCGATGACGAAGGCTTCTTCGACCTCGTCCTCACGGGAAGAGTGAACGACGGTCGACTTGGCGTGGCATCCGCTATGGGTTTCTTGTTGCTCGAGCCTACAGAGCCAAAGAAACAAAATAATAACTCTGCCTGCACAATACTCGTCGATAATCCCAATAAGAAATGATTGCATATTTTTATTAAGTCAGACAAATTAAGTTTCTTCTCGAGCGTACCGTGACTGGAGTCAAAGTTATTTGCGTATTTGTTCAAGTAGTTCAGCTTGGAAACGTCCTCGTAATCTTCTTTCTGATCGTTCGTCGTGGCGAAATCAGATCCTGGGAACGATTCTTTGAGCTTTTGGGGTGGATCCTTCTGATGAGGGGGAAAGATCTCGCTATAACCGTGCACGTGGCAGCTGCAACACGACGGCACTTTGAAAATGTCCATGTGTAGGCCCAATTTGCTGTCCCAAGTCAGCAGTCTGTGATAATTGTACACTTGCACGCACGACGATCGATAGTTCTCTGAGATGAACGAACAACTCGACTGTGGATTCCTGGAATTGAATAAGTTTCTATATTATTCAATCGTTCGAAGGATTCTATTTCTATGAAATTCTACGTAGTTTTATGGGTGAAAAGAAAGTGAGCTGCAAAGTGAGGTCTTCTACCGCAAGGAACTGCGAACAAAGTAGATATTTTGCTCAATCGTTTGTAACGAAGCATCCAGTTTCAATTTCTACGGCTAGCTTAATAGAAATGTTTCAGTGAAGCTGTTTAAGAAAGTGTTAATTGAATGTAACATCCATTTTTCTTGTAGTACGGAAGTACATCGTTAGAATAAACGATAGAGATGAATTGTTTCGAAAACAGAAGGAGCGAGTTTCTAGGAAGTCATGAATAAATATTTGAATTGCAGATGTAATGAGAAATAAGATAAAATTCATGAAAAGAGTATTCCTCGGTAATTAATCGTAGTTTCGAATCTTGGTATTCTCATAACAGTGATAAATTAATTGTTAATAAAATTATTCTATTCGTGTTAGAGTGCTTTCTATAATTTTAGCTATTTTCTCTTTCATTGTGGACACTAAAATTCTTCAATATCTTCTTCATTCAATATGTGATGTACTTCCTTATTCGTGTATCTCTATTATATTCTTTTTATGCGTACTTTTTTATTAAACGTTTCTAAAATATTTCCAAAATAGTACAAAGTGAAAGAAGTACTGTTTTATTAAACTTTTTATATAGTGTGACTTGTTGGCCAGTTAAATGATAATTTCTAAAGTTCAAATTTAACATAATATGTACAACGTAAGCAATATTTTCTGCATCAAACGTTAAATGCAAATTAGAATTGAAATTATAAAATAAAGTTACCTTTGAAATCTAAGTGGAAATTATTTAATAAATATATTTTAAAATTAAATATAGAAGGAAGCATAAATTATAGTAATTGATATGGTCATCGGATAGAGGGTAAGGAACTCTTTAAAGTGAGCGTTTGTACGAGACGTTAGCTTTATTAATTCCGGAGATATGAAAATTTTTGTTTCGAGTCGAGTGTCAAAGTAAATGTTAAAATAAACATGGAAGATAGCAAAAATTATAGTATGTGATATGGTCATCGGTTAGGGGATTAAATGCCCTTTAAAATGAGCGTTTGTACGAGTCGATAGCTTTATTAGTTCCGGAGATATAGCGATTTTAATTTCAAGTCGATGCGGTGGCTAGTTTCTGAGATGGGGTTTGTTTACGTTTCGTAGTGCGCTCGCGCGAGTTCATTCATCTCGCACGCGTGACACTAGTAAACAATGCGTAGTAAATTCTTGGAAATACTTCGCCCGGAACTAGGTCACTCGGTCACGACTCACGTGCGACAAAGAGGTCCAGCGCGACGCGTCAGACGGAGACAGAGATAGTCAAATTAAAAAAATTACCCCTTTACATAAATTACGATATCTCGAAAACGGAAAGTCGGATCGACAAAAACCAAAAACCATTTTAAAGGGGAGGCCTTGCCGCTGCTAACGGTGGCTCAATAATTAATAAAACACTAGTAGTTTCGGAACTGTACGCGTCTAAAGTTTTACTATTCTTAATACGCGTTAATAGGCTTTCGTAAGACGGAGAGTGGAAATTGAAAAATTATCTTTTCATATAAATTACGATATCTCGAAAACGGAAAGTCGGATCGACAAAAACCAAAGACCATTTCAAAGGGGAGGCTTCACCACTACCAACAATGGTTCAATTATTAATAAAATACTAGTAGTTTCGAAACTACACGCGTCTAAAGTTTTACTATTTTCAATACGCATTAGTAGCCCTTTATAAGACGGAAAGTGAGATCCTAGTGGAAATTAAAAAATTACCCCTTTACATAAATTATGATATCTCTAAAATGAAACGTTGGATCGACAAAAACCAAAAACCATTTCAAAGGGGAGGTTTTACCACTTCTAATAGTTGCTTAATAATTAATAAAATTCTAATAGTTTCTAAACTGCATGTGTGTAAAGTTGAATTATTTTTAATACGTAGACATGTCATCCGTTTCATAGTCGATCCAAGAAAGTCGAGCGCCAGGAATTTATTGAACGATCTAATATTTATAATTAAACTCTACTTACGAACACTTTTCCAATCTCAAAGTCTGCGTGTGTTCACCGGTGTTTATTATATATTTCCAAATGCCAGAGGCGGCTCTGGCCAACTGCGGGCGTGCATACTTGATGATCGACGGACACGTGAAACCTTCTTCAACATTGTCAAACGGTGAACTTAAATCGGATCTCCTAAAATAAATTAAAGAATAAAATATTGAAAGTCAAAGGCAAATTTAAAAAATTAAGTTTGAAGCTTTATGCCAAACATATCTTCTTAAATATGTTCTCAAAAAATGTTTACAAATCCTCAATCACGATTTTGTCGTTCTTTTATCTTATTTTGGCGTATCGAATCACCCCATAAATAATTATCAATCTTATAAATACTGTTTAGTGTACTTTCTAATCCTGCAAACAGATAATTCGCAATACGTTGATGCATTGCTGTCTGCCGGGTAAACGTTCAACAGGGGGTCAGTATATATTATTGTTTAATTCCAACAAAATAAATCATTGAACGATTTACAAGAATATTTTACAAATTTTCAATATTTTACTGGTAAATATTCTTTGCTTCTTTACTTTCTTTATTTCTCAAGGGTGATATGAATAGAATAACCTCAAAAATAGACATTATCATACAAGTTTCGACAACAATTAACTCTCACCTTCTGATCTCGTTGTTCTCGTACCGATTTTCATATCGTCCACCATACTTGTTCTCATATTTATTTTCGAGAGGCAACGAGACCGGCAGACTTTCACCAGACTCATCAAAATCCTGCGACTTGTAATCAGTCAACAAGGCTGCGACCATCTCCTTGTTGCTCCTCAAGCTCCTGGTTATCGCCTCGCTGAACAAGTTTCACTTCATTAAAATCAATAAATTGAACGATGAAGAATTAATTACAAATCATTACGGGCGTCGTTCGAGTTAAACACAATTCGTTAAAAGCGTCTTTAAAACTCCCGAGTCGTACGATCTACTCCGTTATACATTTTACACGTGACAAATCACAAAGTCATATTACCCAGAGGGAGAGGGGGGGAAAAAACGAAAGTTCATGCTTTCGCCGTTAATTTCACGACTTCCTCTTTCGTCCAGAGTCCCGCGATGCTCGGTTAAATGAACAGACGATGAGAACATCGAGACAAACTGACAATTGCGCAATGGCAGTACGAATGTATAGAATTGTAGGAAAGTACTTTCTTCCATTTTAATGAGCCCCGCGAATTACGTCGTTACTGTTGTGAAACGACGGTCCAATTAAACCTAATCCTTGTCTCCGCGTTCGAGAAAATATATTAGACTGCACGCTGGCTCACGAATCGGTTGTGCAATTGTTGGATTCCGGTGGAATAAAGGGAAAAGTGTAACATTAGACTCACTGCGGATAATCAGTTGCTTCGAGACAAACTGTCTTTGTGAAGAAAGTGCACTCGTTCTCCGTGGGATCTCTCTTTGCTTCCGCGGGCCGCCTTGGTGGTCTGATTATCGGCGTCCTGGTCAGATCTGTGAAATCAAGATCGTTTCAATACCGATATTCCTACTAAATTACTACGTAAAAGTAAAGAACGATATTTTATGAGTTTCTCTGTATTTCTGAAAGGTGATCAAAGGTTGAATATAAACAGAAAGCAAACCAGAATAAACGTTTCTTCGATTCGTGAGAGATGGTCTTCTTGGAGGGGGTCGATACGTGGGACGTTTCCTCAAACCAGATAAACTAGGTCTAATAATCTTCAGTTCTTGAGCCTATAAAAAGAATAAAATTTATTCAAATGTTTGTATTTCGAGTTGAGAAAATTTATATTCGATCGATCTAAATGGAGTCAAGAAGCATGTATTCTTTGACAATTTTTTGGTGCAATAATGAAATTGTCGAATCTTCAAATAATCAATTAAGTTCACTGAATTTTTAATTTCGTAACGAGTAGATAAACTCTTCCATTCAACTTAATCTCTCTTCGTAATTAAGTGTACGATAATTACATTTTAATTTTAATTTCAAGTTATCCGTCGCGGGGATCTTAATCGCTGGTAACAATGTGTCCGCGTGTTTGCATATATTTTAACCCGGTACGCTAATTAATGTCCAGAATGGAAAGTGCCCCGCGTATATTCGTCGGAAATGACTATGTTCGTCCAACGCGTGATTCTCCTGGAATTTCTACGCGGACTGTAATTAAAAACATCGATTGCAGCCGCGTGAAAGTGCTCGCGCGGGAACATATCCTACGAACGAAAGTGTCCTCCTGAAAATTCCTAGATCCAACGAGATAAACGGTCGAAAGGAAATGCTGGTGACTTTAACACACGATGAAAGATGCGTATCTCTCGTTAGATTAATCGTACTTTGGACTGGGGGGCTTAAATGGCACGGTGAAACCGAATCGAAGTCGTAAAACGTTAGATATTGACGCGATACTAAAATCAATGCGAACGAGAAAGCTGAGTGCAGCTGTATGAGATGTTTGTGTGGTTATTTTACGTGACACGTGCTTTTGTAAATAAGTTTAAAGATTGTCACACGATGACAAGTGTATTTATTGGACAGAAACACATTGGTACACGCTTTGGAAGATTAGCGACGATTCATTGTACAGAGAAGCTCTGAAAACTACTTTCTAGAATTTTCTCCTACAATTTTTCCTCTACGTACATGTTTATCGATATTGATTCTGAGGTCTCAAGACAGTGCAATCTAAATATTATTATTCCAATGTTCTTGGTCAAAATAATGCCAACTTGAGGTATGGAAAGGGTGTCGAAATTATATTTAGTTTTTGGACGTACTTCTATGTTTAAAAAAATAACATAATCATTGCAAATGAAATGAAATACACTAAGACATTATTTAAACGTTATAGAGGATTTAAAAAAATAGTAATATTAGTAATTTATACTTCGAATAAGAATGAGTTAAAAAATTTCTATTCACCTCTGGTAGTTCCTCTGGCGTTTCTTCGTCACCTGTAGCGTCATCAGGTATAATTTTTGCAATATCTGCACTGATCGGTAGCGCTAGCCCTCTGGTAGCGTTCTGTCGATTCCCATTTCCAAAGGTAGAACGAAACTTCTTCAATGACAGAAATATCAATTTTTGAATAATCTTTGAAGAACCAATATTTAAACACTTCAAAACCTTCACTTTTAGATACCATTCAGAAGTAACTCAGAATCTAAAATTCCTATCTTAAATCTTGATCTTGAAATTTTATTTTTCATCGCAAACTTTCTTCTCTACGAATTTTTGATCGCGTTTAAAGTAAATCTGTTACAGCGTTAATACGTTTAACCGCAATTAACCGTGGTTAACGCGCCGTGTAAATATTATTTAAGCAAATAGAAACCTCTTTCGCTCACCGAAATCGCCGCCGTCTTGTTCCCGGACACTTCGTCGTTGATCTTGATGGACGCGACGGTCGTCTCGTTGTGTTCTTTATGGTCGTTAAGGTCCGCGTCGTCTTTGAGATCCTCCTCAGCGCCGACATTAATCGAGGATAGTAGCACGACTGCCTAGAGAGTGAAACGACCACGGGATCATTTGTGTGCGTTCGCACAAACTTATTATTATCACTGACAATAACATTGTTCGTCACACACGGTGCGGTCGACTTATTATATCGTGCGCGTTGCATTCGTAACCATCGCCTGTCAAATCATCGCGAATGATTAATCATTTTCACTGCACGAGCTGTTACTTGCTTTCAATCATTCAATTTTAGAGTCACTTCGTTTCGAACGACATCTCGAACATTCATGTATGAAACAATCGTTGCAATACGGGCATAAAACGCGCGTTAAAATAAATTTTGCATCAGATTTCCGCGTAAATGCATCAACTTCGATAATTAAGTCGTACCAAGCATGTACAGTGATTCTATTTTGGTAGATAAAGTTTTCCTTCTGGAGTTGAAAACACATTTTATTTATTATGGATTACTTTAACAACACTCGAAAATATCTTACTAAGAATTATAGTAATCGATTGACTGACAGAAAAGAACCAACTGTCTAGTCTGCATGTTCTCTTCACCTAATCTTGTGTATTCGTATTATATACATTTTGACGTGACATTTTAACCCATGTAGATCCTTCCTAAACAAAAAGTACTTTAAATTTATTTATTTTTAATAACTCAAGCCAAACTATAATGAGTAATGTATAAAATAATTCTACTTTGACTAATTTCCAATCGTATGTTTCGACATTTTTAGACTTTAATATATTTTAGATTTCAAGAATTTTTCATTCGACAACCCTATATAAATTTTTATTACAAGATAAAAAAAGAAAATTGAAATTATAGCCTTCATTGATATTTCAAAGGAGAACAGTAACTGCTCTAACGGGTGGGCAGTTAAATTGATCGCTCTCGTTAATAACCGCGCGTTAATTCTAAATTATGGTACAGCCAACGACTCTTACTATATCATAGCGTGATTAAAACGATGTACCCGGAATACCGCGATTTCTTTCTCCCCCGTTCGGACACGTAATTAATTCTTTTCCGTTATATACAGAAATTTACGACCCTCTCGGGGCCCCGGAGAATAAAGAACGAAGATCCCTGATAAAAAATCATCGTGTCCCGAAACTGGTATTGCCTCCACTGTGTTTCGTTTTTTTATTTTTCTCTATCCCTCTCGCGAATTCTTCGGGATATACGAGTGCAACGCACTCTTGGGCTCTTATCGTTCTCAGACGATCGTTTCGTTCGAAACGCGCCCTTTCCCTCTCGTAATCGTAACGCGCGCGGTACGTGGAACGCGATAGGATTTCCCTAAACAGACAATGCAACGATTCCGCGGTTATGCGTGCAGGAATTAAATCGCGTGGAGGCGTTACGCGCGCCTCTTGTTTACCAAGTCGGTGGACCAGCTATCTTAGGAAGAAATCACGTCGAAAGCGGACGTGTGCGTCGACTGTGGAGAAACGTTTCGTTCGCGTTGCAACGGAAGCGCGCAAACTGACGCGCAACGTCGTGAAATCGCCGTGAAAACTCGAAAAGGAACACTCCGAACGCACGGTTGTGCGTGATGGGTGAAATTAAGCTATTTTCCACCGGACGACGCGAGAAAGAGAATGATAAAAACGTACGTGCCTGCGGATCCGCGAGAAACACTCGCGACGGTGAAAGTTACGTTGTTCTAAACGTGTGTTTACGCTCGTGTATATCATCTTGGCTAATTCGATGGCTCGCAACGCTCGAGATACACCTGCGTTGAGAAACCTTCGAATCGTTGCTTTGCATGGAAAGATTACGAATTCATTTCATTTTAGTCCTCTTTAGACACGATGTATTTGTAACTAGAGCACGAATGTTAGACACAGTGTAATATTTATATAATTTATCCTGTTGTATCGAAAGCGCAGGCGTCTACGCGGTTGTTTCGAACTGTCGATTAATCGACGACAGTGCAACGCTTCGGTGGAGGTTTTCATTTATCACGGTTGCCTAGTTTCTCTCTTTGAATTTGAATAAGCGGTTGTATAACTTTCACGCTGATACGGGGACCAGCGACAAGGGTAACTTTCTAAAATACAAATTTCCGACGGTTTTTTGATTGGGACCAGATAGCGAATGGAAAGTCAAAGTATGTACCGTTGGGAGCTGAAAATATTTGTTTCGTTTCATGAAACATTGCATTCGGGACACGTAAATAGAAATAACTTTCGAAAATAAATATGAATTAATATGAAAATTAAGTAATTTAAATAATCATCGTGTATTGGAGCAGATACGATTAGATTCGCGATAAATTCAATAAAATTACAAACTGGGGTCCTGTCAATCTTAAGTATAAAAATGAATTGCTCCGCAAACATGCCAAGAGCAATAAAATTTCAATAATTGACGATACCAGTATCCTAAATTTGAATCAACAGGGTGAAGATACCCTGATAAAAAACAAAACATCGAATGAATCAGACTGAACAGTGATCTATCTCCAATTAGATGGGATCTGACAGGCCCACCCAGACACGAGTAAAATAAAATAATGTCCACACCCTTTGCATCGAGACTAGCCAGCCTCGAATCGACTAGAACCGGATTCAGGTTCCATCAAGTCTATCTAAATAAAGTTTCACTCGATTCGAAGCACCTGGTTCGATCGAGCCAGGGTTCGGTTCACTGTCCCCACGAATTAGGAGTAACAGGTTTAAATCATTCTATATTCAACGTAGCCCGAAACAAGTTTATAATGTCCTGAAACGATCCTGCTGAGTCCCAGGTATCTGGAAACTATAATGTTGCTAAATTTTTCGAACATCCCCTGAACACGAAAATTTTCAACACGATTCTACAGTATCAGAGACAATTCTTTTTGGTGGTCTCGTGTGTCTCAACGTAGAATCATGATTTTCATTGATGCTACAATTTACCACAGACCTTGTGCCGATTTATCGAATCGAGTTGTCTTATTTGTTCTTGTACGACAAGTTCTGATTCGTTTCTTACGCTGCAACACCTGATTTCGCAGAATCTTTCTGCTCGACTTAACACGCTTTATTTTTTGGCACGAACGCGAACGGAGAGGCGCGAGAACGAAGTGTTAACGCTGTCAGTGCAGGAAGTGGGCAATGTAATAGCACGTGAGACGCATTATGCCACGTGAAATAACCGTAAAAGTGGAAATTCCAACATATCCTCTTTTGTTTGCAATCAGCGTTGACCCAGTAACCATGATGCTCACACAGAAGAGCTACGATTTCACTGAGTGATCCTTTTCTTTCCTATCGCGGCTCGTCATCAATTCTTAGCTAATAGCGAACAATTTTCAGGATATTTTGTAACATAACCCCGCAGTTATGATTATTTACGTGGAATGGGCGTAACGATTTCATTTTGTAGCCCGAGACAGCCAAACCGAAGATTTCGTTTCTTCCCGACCAGTAAGGCGATAAATACTCCGATTATCTTCTTGTCAACGCGTAACCTATTTCCAAGCATTTTTAAGTACACTTTCATATACGAGGAGCGAATAATTTTACAAATGAATTCGTGAAAGACGCGCAATGGTAGTAATTGATTTAACGAAACGCCGTTAATCACGGTCTTAGTACTTTTACGTTCCGTTTATGTACAATTGATTCAAAAAATGAACTTTCGAATGATACAATTGCCGTTTTACACGCAACCGAGTCATGAAGTTTGAAAGGAACGATTCGTTTCGAAGAAGGTATACTTTCTAGCATCGCAGAGATTCCTAGATATTTTTGTATTTTCTTCGAGGACGACACTTTTCTTGCGCCATTGGCACGAATAATAACGCGACTAATTTTCCTTCGACTTTCGTCAGTAATTTCTTACAAAATTATTACTTGATAACTATCACTGTCTATAATAATTAATTTTCATTCGTACACATATTTTCTATTGTTTGGAAATTCGTTTAATGCTTCTAATCAATGATCATTGTCACTGGCTATAAACCTACAGTTTTAGTTGGCTATTTTAAATCTTGTTTAATTTATTAGTTTTCGAAATGAAATATCATTCGTTCGTATTATATTTGAATTCGTTCCAAGCAACATAGAAACAAAAATATATTCAACCATTTTCAATGATAAATCGATGATAGACGAATAATAACAGTTTCGTGAACCAATATAAAAAATGTGAGATTAAAATCGTCGTGTATCCCAGTAACAATACTCTATTTACGCGGTTATTAAATGTTTCACTTGTTACGCGACAGCGAACTCGGAATTCTGCAGCGATTAAGAGGAAGCTATTTACTTTTCCTGGTTCCGGCAGGTTACTGGATCAAGGCCACGCAAAAGGTTGTTCCACTTTAGCAGAGAAGCAACAGATGTGGTCAGGTGAGCAGTCAGTCACCTTCTCGCGCCGAAAACACGGCATTAAAACGCGATTTAATCGTCAATTAAATTTCCTCGAAGAAATTTTCTTTCAAGAAATATCTCCTTGTAACTTTTTCTTGAGTTTGTCTTTTAATAATTTTATATTTTTCTCTGTAATAATTTGTGAAGATACTTTACCCTTTTCTTTCCTTTTTCTTTTTCGTATTTTTATATTTTTTTAATTTATACTGGCACAAATATATACTATATTTATAACTTTAATTATACCTTTGAAGTTAATATAAATTCTTAACGAAAAAGGAGATATTTCTGCGTAGCTTGCAAAGAAAGCTCTAGTCAATAATTTCTCCATATAATGCACATAATAATTTGTATATTTATTTCCTTTCGTAGATCGCTAAATAATAGACGAATATCTCTTTACCACTGAAATGAGAAGTAATCCTCGTGCCATCATTGCTCTTCCGTGTACTCTAACATCAACGATCTCTTCTCACTTCTTCCCAACGCACCGAACATTCACTGCCACTGTTAACTATCGCGTTTCTTCTTCTCAATTTTCCCTGCTTCACCGACGAAATTCTCAGTTCCTCGTTACTTCACCGACAGCCCCAACGAAGTAAACAAATTGCGAGCCACCAATCATCGATGGGGGTCCCCGATCGACGCGTCTCGTTAAAGTCCCCAAGTCCTCCACGGATACACCAAAGAAAACGGGCTCCCTCGATTTATTACTTCGTTTCTCTTCGCGTTGGCACGGATCAGAGGGCGAATATTTCAAATCGAACTCTCGACGCGAGGATGTAGAGGAGAAACAGTCCACGCGTTTCGTGGATGGGAAAACTCTGCGTCCGCGGTGGAGCACCGAGTCGTTCTTTGAGCCGCCGCGGAGTGTGTATGGTCCTCGTCTTCATCAGGTGGAAGGAGACGCCAAAGAAGAAGAATCGACTCGACGCTTGGCGGGTCTCACGTGGGGATAATGTAGGAACGAGCGTGGTTCGTCCTGCGTGTTCCCCCTTTCGTACAACCGTGACCGAGAAAACCGGACGGCGGATAAGCGTGTCGTATTCGAGAGGAGGAAGAAGTCGGCCACTCGACCTCTCCTCCTTCCTCGAACAGTACAGCTTTACTATCGGTGAACAGCTCAGGCTGAGAGGTGGTCGTTCCCCATCACCCCTCGATGTGACAGCACGTCACGTTTTTTTTCCTGATAGCTCACGATTGACTCATCTTCGGTCTGCCCTTCTTCCTCTTCGATCAGAGATTTTGCTTCTCTCAGCCTCAGAACGTTTCTAAACGTTGACGATGCAGAACTCAAAAACTGACATCCATAAGTCTGACACGAGTCGTTGTCCTTCGATCACGATTCCCTTCTTGGACTGAATTACCTCAGCCTGTAATCGGAATAATGATTTAATCGTGGGCGCGACAGAGACGTGAACGTTCAGTCTGTCATCCTTGAGTTCCGTGAAATCGACAGTCACTTGGTGGCGTTAAGAGATTATGGTATATTTTTTAGTTGGAATAAAAATTAATGACTTTGGTAGGCACAAGACAAAAGCTCAGTTTTGTTGACTAACTTTTACAGAAGGTGTTCTACATGTTCCCATTTTCATACATCCTTGGCATCTTCTTACAGAGTTGCTAACTTTCTCGAACATTCCAGGTCTCGAATTACTTCCCAAGCACATTGGATTCGGTCATGCAATTATTCCAAGTCGTTTAAAGATCCTCATAAAAAAGAATTAAAAGCAGGAGATATTAATACATGGGAACATTTAGAACGTGATTTATAAACATATGATATTTAAAAATAAGTCAATCATAATGTAAATACTGAATGGTTTGTTTTCAACACAGTATAGAAGTGCCTTTCGTCCAAACTGGGGAACATTATTTCGTCGTAAATTGATCAAAGGTATTTGGAACATGTCTTTAATTACACCTTTCACGATTACCCTCCCACCTGGAATTAAATTCTCAAACGTCGTTGATTACTACTCTCTTCAAGTACTTTCGATGTAAACGCGAATAGCTCACATTTTCCAGGCTCAGAGTAATGAAGGTAGTTAAAAATTGAACAGAAAAATTTGTTGTTAACTTGGTTACAACAGATGCCGCGTAACGCGGAGTAGAACTGTTAGTTTCTTGGTAAAATGAAGCAGACTACGAGAGAAGAAGAGAACTCGAGTAAAGTGACTGTGTCATCGTTGAAGATTGTGAGCCGTGCGACAGGTGGTCGATGTTATTTTCGCCTTAATTTTTTGTACAACTCGAGGACAAAAAGCGCGAGAAAATGTCCGTCTTAACGTTAATTCAACATTAATTTCGGGTGTAAATCACTGCATTTGACGTCACGCCAGGAAACCGATTACGAAAGTATGGCAATATAAAAAGGAATATTATTTTAGAAAGTAGAATGCCATAACGAATGTCTTTGTATTGGTGTCACAAAAATTGAGGGTAAAGAAGCCATCGATATTACTTTAATTCCATTTATTCTTTCAGTGTCACTAGGTGTTGACAGTTTTATAGACTGGCATAGGTATATCTAACTTCGATATTAACCTAAACTAATACAGTAAATAACTATTGGAATAACAACTAATATCACTCTTAAACCCTGAAAGGTTTCGAAAATCGTACAAATTGCACAAAGCTCAGAATATAATAGCTTGATTTATTATTCAAGTTATTTCAGTCCAGTGAATTGTTGCAAAAAGCAGATATCATCCACAGGAAGCAATAAATTCCTGATTCAGTCGCAATCTGGCACCCGTTGCAGTAAACCTTAGCAATTAAAAGCGAAACCGTAGCGTTTTTCGCGTCCAATAAACTTTCCTCGTGCCTCGAATCCTGGATCCAATTGAGATTCGTTTTGCTCGCGTGGTAGCCACGTTTCTAATAGCAGCCTCCTGACGAACCGGAGGGTGAAAGCGGCGAAGCGTTTCTGAATTAGACAGGCACGAGGTTTCGGTTAAAACACGGTCGCCGGTTAAACCAGCAATCAGCGTTCGTCACTCTCGTATGGTGCTCTTCAGGGGAGTTTCTACGACTCTCGCTACTATCGGCGCACACTGTAATTGGCGACATTTCGTACGGAAACGTCTGGTGCAAGAGGTCGTTAGGGTGTTTAACGTAACGTTTAACGCAACGTAATCGCCGATAGAATCTCGGGGAATGTTCAGCGAGGCAATTGACATGCGATATCCTTACCGGAGCGTCGAAACTTCGCAGGAAGGATTACAATTACCTTCTACCTGTTACCCGACTCGTTCCTCGGTCGGAAACGCTCCCTGCGCGCCTGTAATTAAATGCTAGCGAAGAAGAGTCGACTCGTTCGTTTCCAGCCAACCGGTTCGTATTATCGGCTTCTTGGCTAGTTATTGTTTCTCAGACACTTTTTACTATCGAGAACTTGTTATTTCTTTGATACTACGCGGGTAGTTCGCGCCGGGGACCGGAAAGTGTGAACGATATTTCAAGGTGAATTACACTTTGGGGTGCAATGGTAGCAGGATTATAGGATGTATCATTTTCCAATTAACTTCAAACGTATAGTATTTAATTTCGTTTAAATTTGTACGTACGAATTTATATTATTTTTTGTAACAAAATAGATGTACATTTCTTGGTGTCAAGTTTCACAATCACGAGGTTAGTTGTCATCAAGTCTTATTCATTAAAATCAACACACATTTATATATTTATATATGTTATTTATATGATGTCAAGTTCCACAATCACGAGGCTACTTGTCATCAAGTCTTATACATTAAATAGTATTTATATATTTATATAATAACATGTAGTATATTATATGTTATAAAATTGATTTAATTGGTATAAAACTGTTTTATAAAATTGGTTTTCTATAACAAAATGGATATACCTTTCTTGATGTCAAGTTCCACAATCACGAGGCTATTTGTCATAAAGTCTTATACATTAAAATCAATACATATCTATATATTTATATAATAGCATGTAGTATATTATAATCTACTTGTCATCAAGTCTAATACATTAAAATCAACACATATTTATATCTTTATATAATAACATATAGTATATTATAAAATACTTGTCATGAACTCTTATACATTAAAATCAATACATATAAGACTCGATGAAAAGTAACCTCGTGATCGTAAAACTTGACATCCAGAAATGTATATCTATTTTCTTACAAAAAACCAATTTCATAAAACAATAAATAAATAAATAAAAAAGAAACTTGTCAGGGACGAAGAAGGGATTTAAAAAAAACTTTCATAGTGTTCAATGCTGGTAAGATGGCATTCGTATCTGCACGTGCGTACTGCAATAGGCGCAATAGGCTCGTGGACGTGGAAGGGGAAGCAGTCGTCACGTGACGGAGCCCATCCGCGAAGTAGATGGCTTAGTCAATCGCGTCTGTCAAGCGGAGAACGTCACGGCTTCCTGCCCTCGCCCCTCAGTCGTCTCAAGCCGCCAACTTACCAACAACACACACTGGGTACTTCTCTGGACGACTTATATTTAACAACAGCAACTTTCCTGAGTAGAAGATTTTTGTAGTTTGCTTGGATACTACTTATGGGTGAGTTTATAATTATTTCATAACGAAATAGTGTTATTTAAGGAGCAGGCTTTTTCTTTATCACATTGACTGTCATATTAGTTTTCCCTATTCTTGGATATTTTCAACATTTTTTGAAGCTATAACGTAACGAATTTAACCCTTAAGTGGACTCTCAATCTCAACTGAATTATTTTACTTAATGTACGATTAGTATGATCTTGCAGACTTTAAATGCGTTTCTCTAGAAATGTAATTTTCTTAACTGGTGTAGATAAAATCTCGAAAACTATACATTCGATTGCTCCGAAATTTTTACATGTTGTTAAAAAAGGTTATTTTTGTAATGAGTTTATGTAAGTAAAATGACAAAAATAACAGAATGATAAATTAATTATTTTGGTTCAGGCGATAATCAGGAAACCTACCGAATAAAAATCTCTTTATTTTGTTTAATTTAGTCAACCTTGAGAGCTGCAATCACCTACGTCAGTGTTTAAACACATGTTTACTGTGTTTTTATTTCACAGTTTTAATTTATTTTGTATTCCCAAAGGATAGTTAAGTAATCTACGAAAATGAATTACAGCGTTAGATGTAAAATTTATTTAAAAAAATTAATAAGTATGGTTAACTTTGCAACGTTTACACGAGACTGCCCCCTTATTAAATTATCAATAACATCGTCAGTCATTCCCATCTCTAATTGCAAGCAGCGATATTAGATAAATGCCCGACAAATGGCTCTTCGAACGTCTCGAAACGCAACACGGTGAAAACGTACTTACCCACGGCGGGACAACTGTGTAAATCTCGCGTATAAGCGTAAAGCGTTTACGATCCCCCTAATTTTACTCTATAAATTTACAAACCCAGCGCTACCAATGGCACGCGTA